CCCCAAAACCCCAAAACCCCAAAACCCCGTAAATAAAATTAAAGTATAAAAAAATAACTTACTTTAATTATTTTAAATATTGTGAACTTCAAAATGTTTTCGAACTATTAGATGAATTATGTTGGTGTTTCAGTCTAGAGAGATAAAGCAGACAATTATATGAAATTAAAACTGTTAAAAGACAAATTCCCTTAGCCATTTTAAAGACTTTGCACAGCTCAAGAGCAAAAATAAAGGTCAAATCCATTTGATTAAAAAAGGTACTCTTTGCCCTCCTAGAATACTGATGACAGCAAAATATCAAAGTAAATAATTTCTGTATCAAATGAAAGGCCATTAAGTTAAGTAACTTAAGATTAATTGAGCCCTTAGCTCCAAGTAATCTACGATTACACAAGTTTTATGCCACCTAAGTACAGGTTTACTAACTAATTCAAGTACCAATTCTAGGAAAATAAATTGAATTAAGCAATAAAAGCAGCAGAAAAACTAAAGAAAAGAAGGTAAGCAAACAAAAGTTTAAATTAAAAGAAAAAAATCTTCTTTGGAACAGAGTAGAGTGAGGAAGTTAAAGCTAATATTGATTCAGCAACACCCAGTGTGAGACAAGCAGAGAGAAGGTAATCTCTAATGATGAGTATCCAAGCCCCGCCATAAATGATTTAAGTCTCATAATTTGAATTCAATAATAATGGAGATCTTGTTTAAAAATAGAAATAAATAGTCAATAATGAATCTAGATTGCTGCAAGCATTATAATCGGAAAAATCTCCATTGCACAAAAACAATCTTGGCTTTGGCTAAGGTTCAAAAATTGGATTTACTGTAACTCCTCCATAAAGTGATCTTAGCATTAACAGCATTATGAGTACAAAATAGCGATCATCTAGATTTTTAGCAGACGGTATTTCAAGATATCTTCATTAAGATGTGCTAGAAAGGACATATTAGAGTATAACAGAGAAGAAATTCAATAGAATCGCGATTTATATCCAAAGACTCTGGAGAGGTTATCTAGGACGAAAGAAATATAAATAGATCCTAAAAGCATACAATGAAAAGTATACAAGAAGTAAGGTAAACTTACTATTTTCAGAAATAGATCTATGCCTCACTAACCGTAAAGATAACGCAGAAATTCTTGAATAAGAATAGCTAGCAATTTAAGCAGCAGAGGAAGAAAAGAAAATGCTTTATATACCTCTAAAGGATATCATTGCGATAGAGGAAGCAGATTGGCATGATGAATCCTAAGTTACAATAATTAATGAAAATTCAACTTCATCTTAATAAGCAAGAGATTATGATAACATAGGAAATTCTTCTGTCAGATCAAATAATTCAAGTTAGAGAAGAAATACAGCCTGGAAGAACATCCCTATTGTAACATCAACTTTTAAAAGAAAGCATGCAGATTCAAGTAAGTTTTAAGATTTTTAACTTAACTTCTAACAAGGTAACATAAAGGACAGACAAGGTAACTTAAAAGAAAATAGTCATGGACTCAGCTTGAATTTGATACCAGATGAAACTTTGCGAAGAAATTCTGCTAACAATTTACAATGAAATACATCACATAATAGCATTAAATTAGAGCAAAAAAAAGAAGAAAGATAATCTTAATAACTTGCCAAGAAAAGTGTAAGTATCAATAACTTATCATTATTTTAAATATTACTAAAGGATTAATTGTTTGATAAAACTCAAAGAGAAATTCAAAAAGTAATGTAAGTACTTAGTTACTATTATAAATTAACTATAATAGTGATAAAAATAAGAATTGCATTAAGTTCTTGATTGAATTAAACAACTCTCTAAATAAGTTTACGAGGATTTTAAAGAAAAAGGCAAAGCAATAGCTGTAAATGAAGATTTGAATATTATCATATAGGCTAAATTAAAAGAAAGAGAGAAAAGCTACTAGTCCTGCGGAGAAAAAACCTAAAGGCAATAGGAAAAAAGAAGTCAAGATTGTAGCCAAATACTAAAAAGTCTTCTACGGCAAAAAGGTAAAATTAAAGTTTCCTAAAATTAATTTAAGAATAAAAAAGAAGAGATGTAGAGATAAGTTGATAGTAAGAAGCTTAATCAAAGCATGATAGTCAGAAAGATGAAATCAGATTTATAGGAAGAAAAGAAAAAAATACCATCCTTCTTGTCTAAATCCATCGATTAAGCTAGAGATAATTTGAACAAAGAATGCATGAAAATGATTTCAAAATAATGCGCTAAAGCTATAAAAGATGAAGCCCAAACATCCCAATTAAATAACAAAATAAAAAGAAGAAACGGATATTTGAATGCATCCAGAATACCAATGCAAAGAGTGTAGATAGAGCATATGCTTTCTTCAAAATCAAAGAGAGAGGAGAGCGATTCTGATGATGATAATGATAGCTTTGATAACTATGTCTTAGATGAATATGATGATGATGAGGAATACAAGAAATATGATGATATTAAAACACCAATCTAGGAAAATTCTTAGTATGAATCAAGGTCTTCTCTCTCTAACTATAATCATTATCACTCTAGCAACTGATTGATTTAATAATTTCAGATATAATTTTGACTAAAACTTAATCTTAATTTCATAAATCAATTAAATTCATATATTACTCGATCTAAGGGGGTTTTGGGGTTTTGGGG